GTCAGCAAATGCACTGGCACCCTCATTGAGATGTGAGACCAACTCACCTCCAGCAGCTCAAAAGGTGAGTCACAGGCAGCAGCTCCAAAGCACTTTCAAATCCACACCCACCTGCAGCCACTCCTAACCCGAAACAATAAACCCGTGGTTCAACTGACCTGCGCAACTATCTCCTCTACTGAACAGCGAAACCACCTCACCTCCAGCAGCTCGAACACGCTCCCCTTGCGGTCCAGCTTAGACTTCTCCCCGTCAACTCCAGGCATAGCCGCAGTGAGGGCAGCCCTCCAACCGAGCATGAAAACTGCAGTCATGACGATTGCGACTGCTAGGAAGGGCAGCGTCGATCACAGCCCACTACTCACCTCCCGCAGCTCGCTCCAACACGCTCCCCTTGCGGTCCAGCTTGGAATTCTCCCCGCCATCTCCAGGCATAGCCGCAGTGAGGGCAGCCCTCCAACCGAGCATGAAAACTGCAGTCATGACGATTGCGACTGCTAGGAAGGGCAGCGTCGATCACAGCCCACCACTCACCTCCAGCAGCTCAAACACACTCCCCTTGCGGTCCAGCTTTGACTTCTCCCCGCCATCTCCCGGCAGAGCTGCAGCAAGGGCAGCCCGCCAGCCGAGCATGAGCAGTGAGGTCATGACGATGGCAACTGCTAGGAAGGGCAGCTGAGGGGGCTGACCCTTGATGAGACTGCGGAACGCAATGCCTAGCTGGAGTTGGGGAGGGGGGAGGAGGGAAGGAGGAGAGAGAGATGGGGGAGAGAATGGGGACAGTAAGGCAGTGCGGGCAGCTGAGGAGGCTGGCTGGCCCTTGATGAGACTGCGGGACGCAATGCCTAGCTGGAGGAGAGGAGAGTGGAGGGGTGGGAGAGAGGAAGAGGAGAGGAGCGTGAGGAAGGGCAGCAGCGAGGGCAGCCCGCCATCCCAGCACACGGTAGCTGCCAACGCGACCACCACCACCACTCCCAACACCCCAGGTGATAAAAGTGTTATTTTGAGACGTCTCAAAATGACACTTTCATCACACAGCGAGGGCAGCCCGCCATCCCAGCACACGGTAGCTGCCAACGCGACCACCACCACCACTCCTCCCAACACCCCGGTACCACTCACCCGCATTACTAACAACCCAGCGCCCACGTCTTCCCTGCCACCTTGGCAGCATGTCCTGGTGTTCATGCTCCTGTGCACCCCTTACTTGCCCCCAGCACCACTCACCGGCACTCCCAGCGCCCACGTCTTCCCTGCCACCTTGGCAGCATGTCCTGGCGACCAAGGCCCACCCCAGCCCCTCACTCCTCCCAGCACAGCACCTCCACTGCACTCACTGGCTCCCCAACACAACATCCGCTGCAACACTTTTTGAAGCGCCTCAAAAACCCACTCGGGCCCCTCACTCCCTCCCAGCACAGCACCCCCACAACATTCACTGCCTACCCAGCACAACATCCGCTGCAGCACTCTCTGGCACGCCAGCGCCACAGCAAGACTCTCTGCTACCCCCGGCGCCCACGTCTTCCCTGCCGCCTTGGCAGCATTGGCTCGTGTTCATGCTCCTGTGCACCCCGTACTTGCCCTCAGCACTCCTCTCAACACCCCCACACCACTCACCGGTACCCCCCGCGCCCATATCTTTCCTGCTGTCTTGGCAGCATCTAATGGTGACAATACTCCTGCTCACCCCCTCCCTGCCACCAGCACCAACACAGCACCCACAGAACCCTCAGCACCCTCAGCACCCTCAGCACCCTCAGCACCCTCAGCACCCTCAGAAACCCACAGCACTCACGGGTACGCCAAGCGCCCACGTCTTCCCTACTTCCTTGGCAGCATCTCCTGGTGTTCATTCTCCTGTGCACCCCGTACTTGCCCCCAGCACTCCTCTCAACACCTCCACACCACTCACCGGCACGCCCAGCGCCCACGTCTTCCCTGCCTCCTTGGCAGCGTCTCCTGGTGTTGCAGGCAGAGGCCTGCCAACGCTGTAGTCGCCGAAAATGATGGCCGAGATGAACCAGCCTGGTGGGGGGAGAGTGCGGGTGTTGGGGGTGGGTGGTGGGGGGGGAAAGAAGAGAAGAGGGACATGTGTGGTGTGGGGGGATGTGGTGTGAGCAGTGGCCGAAGCTGGCTTGCCAACGCTGTAGTCGCCGAAAATGATGGCCGAGATGAACCAGCCTGGGGGGGGGGGAGAGAGTGGGGGATAAGGGGAGGGGGGAGAGGCGTGTTCGGGGCGTGGTGTGAGCAGTAGGGTGACGGCAGAGGCTTGCCAACGCTGTAGTCTCCGTCTACGCCATCCGTCACCGAATAGTCAGAGACTACAGCGTTGGCAAGCCTCTGTTCGGGGCTTGCCAACGCTGTAGTCTCCGTCTACGCCATCCGTCACCGAATAAGATGGCGGACGGAGATGACCACCTGGTGGGAAAGAGAGTGTGAGGGGTACGGGGGGAAGAGAGTGTGAGGGGTACGGGGGGAAGAGAGTGTGGGTGGGGAAGAGTGAGAGGTAGGGATGAGGTGGTGTGAGCAGTGGGCAGAGGCTTGCCGACGCTGTAGTCTCCAAATATGATGGCCGAGATGAACCAACCTGGTGGGGGGAGAATGTGTGAAAGGGAGAGAGTGTGTTGGGGGAGAGACTGTGTGGGAGGGTAAAGGTGGCGAGTGAGATTAGCGATGGATGGAAGTGGGACGACGGACCAGATAAAGGAAGTGAGAGAGGAGAGATAATTAACGAACAGGGAGTGGCAGCAGTGGGGATTGGAGCAGTAAAATTCTGAAAGAGAGCGAAACAGAACGAAGGGGTTGAGAGAAGAAAGGAGGCGAGAGAGAAGACGGACGAGAGCAAGCAAATGAGCATTGTACTCACGAGAAACGACTGAGCGGTCTTTATGAGTTCCAGTCGATGCGCATGTTTAGCAGCGAGGAATGGCTGTGCGGTTTTAATGAACTCCCAGTCGATGGCGGCAGACACGTGCGTGACTCTTCCAATTCTTTTTATCTGACCCAAAACAAGAGAGTGTGCTTACCAGCAAGGAATGGCTGGGCGGTTTTGATGAGCTCCCAGTCTATGGCAGCAGACACGTGCGTTGCTCTGCCGATGTAGGCGAAGAGAATCAACACTGCCGCATCTCCGCCCGCTGTGAGGAGCGCACGCCTGGCGGAGGGGGGAGCACGAGGGAGTGGGAAAGAAAAGGACGAAGGAAAGTCCAGGGACAATGCCGAAAGCCTGAAGCAGCAGTTTTTTTTCCATTTCCTGTGTCGATGCTACTAAAACACTACTAAATTGTGCATCATTACAGAAACCTCACCTACTTTTTGGAGAATTCGCTCTCGCAGTATCCGTACCCTCTCTTGGGATCCCACGAGGACTTGTATGTGCGTCTTGAGATCAAGAAAAGGAGAACGATTTTCACATCCTCCGACCATGCGGAACGGACAATGAACCGCAATGGACCGCATTAAAACGCATTGACGAGGAACGGTCTGGGCGACAATGGAGACGGACTGTGCGAAGATGGCGAACGATCTGTGCTTCTTTTGTGACTCACGCGAGCGTGGACGAGCCCTCTCCGCGATCCACTTTAGCCCACCTAGAGAGTGGTCTGTGCGATAATGGAGCGTGGTCTGCGACTATGCGAACGATCTGTGCGACAGATTGTGACTCACGCGAGCGTGGACGAGCTCTCTCCGCGATCCACTTTAGCCACGCCCTCTACAGTCACACCGCGCTCCTCCACAGATCGCCCCGGCGCAAGCAGATCATCCGCCGCGCTTCCCCCTTCCGGCTTTTTCACGCGCCGAATCGTCTTTTTCTTGGGCGGAGCGGGCGCATTCTCAACCGCGGGTTCCGCGTCCCCGCCCGCTGCGTCTGCGCGTACGCGGAACGTGAACCGCGGAGTTGTTCCCGTCGATCGCAGCGGAGAGAAGGAAGAATGGGCCGACGGAAGAGATGCAAGTCTGGCCGCAGTCAGCGCGGAAGACGCGGAAAGAGCCGCCATGTTTCGGTCCAAGCGACGGTCGGGAAAGGACGAGATGACGCTCTCTCAATGCAGCTGCCTATCTTTCAGACGAGGAAAACAGCAAAAGCGTGGCTTGGCGGGAAGCAACAAGAACTCCTGAAGAACGAAATGGGGATCCTACTAGCTCGAGAAGAAAGAAGAACACTTGAGAATATTTCTCAAGAACACCCCGTGCGGCCTTGGGATTTGTTCACCCTCTCGCAAATCCCGAAACCAAGTGCTGTTCGCAGAGGGGATTGGCGGGTTGGCGGGAAACCTGGCGAAGAATGGATTGGTCACGTCACCCACCCTTGTGCTGAGCTGTAAATCTTCAAGATATCCTTCGCGTGCGTCACGCTGATTTGAAGGTTTCCTACCGTAAAATCCAGCATTCCATTATTGTAACACTTTTCATCCACAAAAAGCCAATGAAGCAAACAAATTGCATTATATGGACAGAAGATACAAGGCTACATACAGAACAGCACAGAACCATCCGTCCCAACCACAGCCAAAACCCCAAAGATCTGCTACCCTGTCACCCACAACCACCTCTCCCCCTGCCAGCCTCACTGCTGGCCTTGGTCAAGGGGACAGCAGGCACCAGACCTACAAAACACCGCCAAGCACCAGCCTTGTGAAGCGCGACCAAGCACCAGCCTTGTGAAGCGCGGCCAAGCACCAGCCTTGTGAAGCGCGGCCAAGCACCAGCCTTGTGAAGCGCGGCCAAGCACCAGCCTTGTGAAGCGCGGCCAAGCACCAGCCTTGTGACGCGCGACCAAACACCAGCCTTGTGACGCGCGACCAAGCACCAGCCTTCGAAACGCGACCAAGCACCAGCCTTGTGACGCGCGACCAAGCACCAGCCTTGTGACGCGCGACCAAGCACCAGCCTTCGAAACGCGACCAAGCACCAGCCTTGTGACGCGCGACCAAGCACCAGCCTTGTGACGCGCGACCAAGCACCAGCCTTGTGACACGCGACCAGCCACAAAGTAATTACGCACGCTCCGCCCTGCCGGCCTTCCTGCTGGCCTTGTCCAGGGCCACCAGCTCGCACACAGTGCGCTTGTAGCTGCCATCATGCTTCAGCAGCAGACGCATGTTAAGCTCCTTGTCCGTGAAATCCTGCTCACATGACAACCACACACATCACATCACCAAACACCAAGTCAGTACGCACCACACCACCAATGCACAGACTGGTACCTGAGAATCTCCCTACCACAATTATTAAGCAGGGGGAAAAAGGGACTGAAAAACAAGCAAACATAAAACAGAGAAACTCACCATGTCTTCCAGCTCGTCCATCTTCTCCTGCCACTCAGTCGTAACCTTCACAAGCATGGTTACCACCTCGTCCATGTTCCCATTGGTAAACTCCAGCAGCTCCCCATTCAGAGCAGGATAGGGGAACCCCATCTCCACCAGCTGCTGCACCTGGCTGCTGTACCTCCCCCCATAAGGCACAGCAGGTGCAGACGGGGCAGACGAAACAGCTGGAGCAGAAAGAACCTCCACAGGAGCAGCAGGAGCGGCAGCAGCGGGTGCGGACGAGTTGACGATGAGAGGCGGGGTCTCCATCTCAATCTCCTCTTCCTCATCCAGGAAGCTCGCAGGCGACGGCATGGCAGCAGGCGCAGCAGTAAAAGGTGGAGACACGTTCACATAGTCATCCCCTGTCAGCAGATCCGCTGTCACTGCACCAGCAGCAGCGCCAGCAGCAGCCTCAGCAGCAGGAGGAGCAGACCCTTGCACCAAAACCCCGATGCTCTCAACTGAGGGATACAGGGACTGGCCGGGCGCAGGAGAAGCGGGAACAGGCGCAACGCAGGCAATTGAGGCAATAGAGGGGTAGGACACATTCACGAGAGAGAAGCTGCCGACAGCAGTGTCCTCAGCCCTAGGGGTGCTGACAGATGAAGAAGCATCCGAGGAGGACAAGACAAGGGGCGGCAGGAGAGTGGAAGACACGTCTGAAGCGGTGAGAGCCGGGGGGATAGTCTCCGAGGTGGTAGCATCAGTGGTGGTGCTGCTGGTGGTGCTAGTGGTGTCGTCTGCAGGGGACGGAATTTGCAGGTCAGTCCAGTCCTCCTCAGCAGCAGCAGCAGCAGCAGTTGCAGCACCCTCTGCAGCAGGAGCAGCAGCAGCAGCAGGCGCAGGCACAACAGGTTCAGCAGAGGCAGGGGCGACGTCAATCACCACGTCGCCAACAGCAGCCATGGCTGTACCAACATCAGACTCGGCAGCAGCAGCAGCAGCACCAGCGGCTGCCGACCCGATGTTATCCGCAGCGTTGCGGATCGCAGTGATGATCGGATCCTCCCACTCCTGCTCATCCTGCTTCTCCTCTTCCTGCATCTCCTCCTCCGGCTTCTCATCTTCCTCCGCCGTCACTTCCTCCTTCACCTCCTTGACTTCCTCCTCCTCAACCACCTCACTGGCCTGCACAGCAACTTCAACCTTCTCCTCCTCCAGCTCCTCCTGAGCACTCCCAGCCTCCTCCTTCTCCTCTGCTACTTCCGCGACAGATACCACACCACTCTCCTCCACAGCCTCCTCAGCACCTGCCTGCTCCACAACAGCAGCACCAGCAGCAGCATCTTCCACTGGAGTAGCATCAGCTAGTACGTTCTCTGCGTCCGTACTCGGGCTGGCCTTCACACAAACGGCTTCAGGCAGAGAGGGAGACTCGTACTCGGCAGCAGCAGCAGGCACAGGAGGCGCAGAGGCAGCAGCAGGAACGGCAGCAGGGGCAGCAGCAAGGAGAGGCGCCGGCTCTTCATCCATTGCACTGGCCTCCACGACCTGAACACCACACACACGAGAGGGGCAGACAGACAGACATAAGTGAATAAATGCGCACTGACAGACGCAGAGGCAAAAGGCCAAAACCAGAAACGTCCTGCAGTGTGTGCACTGAACCCGACCTGAAGGGGACAAGAGGTACACTGGATCTGGGCCCAGAAGCGGTGACCAGACTTGGAGCCTCCAGGGGCCAGCAGGCGCCAGTGGGACATGTAACAACCGTAAGGTGACCTTTAACTTGGCTTATACTGACCTGGATCTGGGCCCAGAAGCGGTGGCCGAACTTGGGGCCTCCAGGGGCCAGCAGGCGCCAGTGAGACATGTAGCGCCCGGGGCGGGCAGGTGCTGCCATGTCCACCGCCACATCAACCTCCTGTTCAGGGTACACGCCCCCACGTGGCAACTGCAAAGAGAGGAAGGCATGAATGACAACAAAATGCAAAAGTGAGTGTGGGAGACGACAAGGGAGGAAGGGGGCCGAGCTGGTGCTGCCATGTCCACCGCCACAAGGGATACACCCCTCCCCTGCAAGGGATACACCCCTGCAAGGGATACACACCTCCCCTGCAAGGGATACACACCTCCCCTGCAAGGGATACACACCTCCTCGAGGCAACCACACACACGAAGGGCACTAGAACAATCAGCAGAGATGACAAACCCATGCACAAGGGTGAGTTTCAGGTGCAACCCGAGCAGCTCAACGCGTCCACCATCTGCTCCACGCGACTGCTATGAGACCCAACAAAAAAAGCCAAGACTCACCTCAAGAGGCACAGTGCTGGTCTCTGAAAGCAGGTCCCCTCCCGCGTGAATCACTTGCAAATCGCACGGCCACAGCACGCTGCCGCTGTTGCGCAGGCGCCAGATCTTGGTGAACCTCATGAGGGATGGCCCGTGGGCATCTGGAAAAAGCTCACCTCAAGGGGCACGGTGGTGGTCTCTGAGAGCAGGTCCCCTCCTGCGTGAATGACCTGCAGGTCGCAGGGCCACGGCACGCTGCCGCTGTTGCGCAGGCGCCAGATCTTGGTGAACCTCATGAGGGATGGCCCGTGGGCATCTGGAAAAAGCTCACCTCAAGGGGCACGGTGGTGGTCTCTGAGAGCAGGTCCCCTCCTGCGTGAATGACCTGCAGGTCGCAGGGCCACGGCACGCTGCCGCTGTTGCGCAGGCGCCAGATCTTGGTGAACCTCATGAGGGATGGCCCGTGGGCATCTGGAAAAAGCTCACCTCAAGGGGCACGGTGGTGGTCTCTGAGAGCAGGTCCCCTCCTGCGTGAATGACCTGCAGGTCGCAGGGCCACGGCACGCTGCCGCTGTTGCGCAGGCGCCAGATCTTGGTGAACCTCGTCAGGGGCGCCATCTCCTTGCCGTCATGCACACTCACGTCCCTCACAAACCGCGCGTCCAACAGCCTCCCATGCGCCCTGCCATACTGCAACTGCCCCACCGACCCCCCCACTGCTCCGCCCACGGACCCCCCCACGCTGCAGCTGCCGGTGAAAGCAGAGCTGTTTGGGTGGTGGTGAGGGTGCTGGTGATGATGCTGGTGCTTGTTGAAAGGAGCGCCAGGCCCCCAAGCGTGCGGCATGGAGTGGTGCGTGAAGGGGCAGTGCGGGCGCGGGGCGAAGAAGGGACGACCTGCTCCCGGCTGCTGTGGAAAAGAGAGGCAGTGAGACAAGAAAATATGAATAAGCAGGGCAAAGGAGCAGCGTGCAAAAAAAAAAAAAAAAAAAAACAGCACGAGCAGGATAAAGTTGAAGAACCGCACAACAGCGGAGAATAATAAAAGCAGCATAGCTAGTAGGCGAGTGAGCTGTGCAATCCAAGCAGCGGCATGCAACGGCTGCGCTGCTCACCATGCCAGCCATGGCAGCGGCGTGGGCGGTCATGTGCTGCAGGCGCGAGGGGCGGAAGAGAGGGCGGTCGATGCACTCATAGTGCTCCGGCACCACCCCCGCCTTGCTGTAGCACGCCTCACACAGGTCAAAGTCATCCTTCCTGCACAAGCCACGCACGGGAATTGCAAAGCTCTTCAGGATCACATGCCCCGGATAAGGGAACGGCAGTAACAACAAGGAAATTATAAAGTATAAACGAGAGAAGAAAAAAAACAGCAAAAAAAAAAACGGGAAGAAGAAGCAAGAGGAGTGTGCTGGGAATGAAGAAGGCGAAGCACTCACACGAGGGAGCGGTATCGCTTGCCCTGGATGGGGCGCTTGTCACAACCGTCACAGATGATGCCGTAATACACCGCCTTGGCAGCCTCACTCCTCCCTGCGCAGCACCTCCCTGGGACGCAGCAGCAGAGGCGGATGCTGTCGTTGGAGCAGCAGCAGCAGCAGCAGCAGTGGCAGCGGCAGTACCAGCAGAACAAGCAGCATCCTTCGGCTCAACAGGGAAGTAGAGCTTAGCAGGCGGGGGCCTCTCGATGCATTCGTAGTTCGCTGAGATGGATCCCTCCTTGCTGTAACACGCCTCGCACAGGTCGTAGTCATGCTTCCTGCACAGGCCACACACGCAAGCGATGGTAACAAAGAACACGGTTACTAAAAGAAGAGACACGATATAGAATAGGAAAATTGCAAAAAAAAGTACAGCTAAATTCCTCGTAAGGCAAGGGCTCACTGCGAGAACTGCTTACACGAGGGAGTGGTAACGTTTGCCCTTGAGAGGGCGCATGTCACAGCCATCACAGGTGATGCCGTAGTGAACCGCCTTAACACTCTCACTCGCGGAATCTGAGGCCGACGCAGCGGCTGCAGCAGAAGGAGCCGTGGCAGCAGCAGCAGCAGCAGCAGCAGCAGCAGCAGCAGCAGTGGCAGGAGCAGGAGCAGAGGAGGAGGGAGAGTCCTTAGGCTTCAGATCGAGTGCGTCTGCTGCAGCAGCAATCGCAGCAGCCACTGCAGAGGTCGCAGTGGCAACATCAGCCGAAACCGCAGCAGCTACGTCAGCAGCAGCAGCAGCGGAATCAGCAGCGGCTGCAGCAGCAGCAGAATCCGCAGCGGCAGCAGCAACAGCAGAATCCGCAGCCGCGGCAGCAGCAGACGAGGAGGAAGGCTTGGAAGACCCACAACCACCGCTGTACCCCCCATGCTGCTGCTGCTGCTGCTGCTGCTGCTGGCGGCGGTGGTTCATCTCCAGAATCGGCTCAAACACCACGTCAAGCCCGCTCCGCCGCGCCGTCGCCAGAACCTGCGCAATCTTCCCAGGCGCGTCCTTGAGAATCGGGCCGTACTGCGCCAGCATACGCTCCAGCTGCCCACCTGACGCCAGCGCCTTCAGGATCTGATTCTCCACCGCAGTTGCAAACTCCGCGACTTTCGCCTCAAACGCCTCGTCAGGGTTCTCTGGGACGGACGGCTTGCTGGGCTGTGCCGCGGAGGGAGCGGCAGCAGGAGCGTCAGCAGGAGCAGGCTCAGAGGTGGAAGCGTCAGGAGCGGCAGGAACGGGCTGCGTAGGAGCAGGAGCAGCAGCAGGAACTGGCGCAGGAGGAGGTTCGTCAACCGCAGCGGTCGAAACAGCAGGAGGAACAGGAACAGCCTGAGCAGCAGAGTCGGCGACTGAATCCGACGCAGCAGGAGCGGAATTCGCGCCAGAAGCAGCAACAGCGGACGGTGCGGACGGCGCAGACGGCGCGGATGGCGCGGACGGCGCAGTTGGCGCAGATGGCGCAGCATCTCCGCCGAACGACGAAGACGAGTAGACAGACCCGTCAAGGCTGCAAACGTCGACGAAATCGTCAGCGCCAGGCAGGGACTCGACGGCAACATCGAGGCGCAGCGGGTTGAGCTCCTGGTAGATAAACGCGTCGTGAAGATCCTCGTCCGTGGAAACCGTTATGACGTCACCGTCGGAATCCGTGTACGTGACGGTGATTGGCTTGTCGGCTGGGATCTTGAAGAGCTTGCGAATTTGACCGTCCACGTGGTCGAAGGCCGGAGGGTCGCGACGAGAGGAGATGCGGCGAAGGACGCCGCGGCACTTGACCTGATAGGAAGAACAAAACGCGGAGAGTTGAAGGTTAAAAGAAACGTGTAAGTAAATTGAGAGAATAATCCGCGACACTTGACCTGATAGGAAAAAGGGAACGCGGGCTCAAGGCAAGCGAACATGACATGTCGTCGCGTGACACAAGTGAAAGGGCAGTCCGGGAGGTGTGAAACCGAATCAACACAGCGAGCAGACTAGTTTGATATATAGCAATAAATGAGAGGAACAAGCTAAGGTTGAGCACTAAGAATCTATGGCTGAGTTAGGAAAGGAGGCACTCCTCACCTTAAGCACATAAAGAGTATCCATGGCGAAGGCAGTCGGCACAATTACAGCGGAGCACAGCTGGACTTGTTATTGAACTCGAAAGAAACGTCACCTCGACCAGCCAAACCGCGTTCCCGTTAGCCGCGGTGGCAGCTCTCACTTCCTCAACTATCTCCAAGTCCAAGAAACCGGCAGCAACGGTTCCTAACACTAACAGAAACACCGTTTCCTCCTCTCACAACTGATATGGCAAACTCGACAGACAACAGAAATTCGTTTCTCAGAACTCGACGATACTTGGAACTGGAGCAGCAGCAGCACCAGCAACGACAGTGGCAAAAGCGCGCAGAACTCGAGGAAACTCAAGCAAACACGCCACCGAAGCTGGCGGAATGAGGTACGGAACGGCAAACTTGCGTCACTGACAGGCTTCAGCCTGAAGAAATGGAGGGCGAGGATGGGTTATTTATAGATGTTGATGGCTCGGCGACGGCTGGAATGAGCTTCATGTCCGTGCCAACCGATATGGCGTCTCATACACGTCAGTGCGCGGGGAGCACCACTTTCGCGCGGGGGAAGACGACTTGGGCGGGAGCCTGCGTAGCATGTCATGTGGCGGGGGCGTGCGGCTCCGCCAGTCACATCAAGCATGCATCCCTTCGCATAGTGGCGAAACTGCTTATCGAGTTCCACGAAGGTCGAAACGGCTTCTGGGCCCTTCGCGAATGGCAACTCATGTTTGAATGTTACGATTCGAGACAAGGCGAGTGCGATATTTTTGCCCTTATTCCCTTTATTACATGAAAAATGTATCTTGAAAAGAATCACTCGAGGGAAGGCAATGTAGCTACATGGGGCTAGGCCAATATTACCAATACATCAGTAGTTGAGACGGGTCAAGGGGAAATACTCCCTGACCAATCCACCTTACAGATAACCAGGTTTGCATCTTCAAATAAAATTTGCAAGTTGAAATCTTGCAAACAGGTTTCCTGGTATTCAATTCGCATCTTAAAAATCTGCTTGTTCGCCTCAATATACACAAGCCTACGTAACACTCCCCTAAAACCCAGTGTTGATCCCCCCTCCCATTCGTCCACCACCTCGACCAAACCCTGCACCACCCCTACCTCGACCCCTTACACCAAACCCCCCACGACCTCTTCCCGCTCCCCTTCCTCCTCCCCAACCACCTCTTCCGAACCTGCCACCAAACCCTGCACCAAAGCCAGGGCCCTGAGGACCGGGCACGAGGGCACCCTTGCGAGGTCCGGCCGGAGCTGATTTGTCACCAGCGGGCGCTGAGTCGCTGGTTGGAGGCGGAAGAAGGTAGTTTTCGAAGGAAAGGAGGGAGGCGATGGTGTAGAGTGTTAGTGCTTGGAGGGGAGGGAGCGGTTTCCTGGGATCATGGACCTGAGAGGGGAGAGAGCGAGAGGGCACGAGAGGGAGGGAGAGAGTGAGGGCATGAGGGAGAGGAAAAAGCTCAGTCCAACGATAGCGATGAGACAACAGCTCAGACCAGCAGTAAAACAAGAGGAGCCGGCTCAGCCCAGCACCCCACGGCTTATCCCAGCACCCCACGGCTTATCCCAGCACCCCACGGCTTATCCCAGCACCCCACGGCTTATCCCAGCACCCATCGGCTCATCCCAGTACCCACCTTGGTGGCAAAGCAGGCGGCCAGCCTCTCCCTCAGGCAGAACAGCTGAGCTGCCAGCATGGCCGTGGCGCGGAATCTCAGCCATCGATCGATCACGATCACAATCTCACGGCCAGGATCGCTCATGACCTCCTCCTGCAATTTCCGCCTCCTTTCCCTCGCACTCTTGGGATTCGGCCTCACCACTGGCCCCTCCTCCTCCTCCCCTTCCTCATCCTCCGCACCTGAAACATACTCCCCTTCCTCCTCCACCCTTTCCTCCTCATCCTCTCCCTCCTTGCGCGTGTTCCCCCCAGCCCCCTCGCCCTCTTCTCCTTTCCCTAACTCCATCTGAACTGCCTCACTTCCTTCCCCCACTGCTTCTGCTTCTCCGTGGACCGACTCCCCCTCTCCCCGTTGACTCCGCTGCCGTCTCTTCCTTTTCCGCACCTCCACCCCTTCTCCCTTCCCTTCTCCCTCCCTTTCTCCCTTCCCTTCTCCCTCTCCTTCTCCCTCCCTTTCTCCCTTCCCTTCTTCCTTCTCCCCATCTCCATCCTCCTCCCATCCTGCCTTCAGAGGCCCTAGAGGAGCAACAACCATCTCTGACGCAATCAGGATGAGAGAGAGTGGGCGAACCACAGTACACGATCTAATCGTCTGGTTCCCCTCGCCCCTCACGATCTCATCAAACACAATCAACGGCCGAGATGATTCCTCAATGCTCTCCGAACCACCGCTCTCCCCAGCGCCGCCAGCCGTTCCCGAACCTTCCTCCGCACCTCGGTGCAAGGCTCGGCAATTGACCGAGTGTGGGTGAATCCGAACCTTCTCACCTCGGGCCGTCACTACCACCGCCGGTTGCTTCCCAGTTGGCGTTTTCGGTACGAGACTAGCTACAAACGGGTACAAGCCCGCTGCTAACACCGCCCTCACCACTCCTTGGTTCCTCCCATTCGCATTACACTCGCAATCCAAATCCACATTCACATCCCATCCCCCTCCTCCTCTTCCTCCTCCTCTGCCGTCGCCTCCCCTCCCTCGCCCTCCTCCCCACCCTCCTCCTCTCCCCCCGCGCACACTCCCTAGAAACCCTTTCCGCAGCAGCTCTCCTCTCAGCTGCTTCCTCAGCCCAGAGATCATATTCATCCCACCTGGCGACAAGAAATTCCCCCGGCAAAACCCATCTGCAGCCCGAGCCCCCCCTCTCGCCTTCGCCTCGGCCCACCCGTCAAACGCGGCAATGAGCGCGAGATGATCCCCATACCCGCCCAGGGAATTCCCCAACGCGTGCCTTGCAGCAATGGCTTTAAGCTTCTGATCAAGCCCTATAGGCATCTGGAACGGATCCCGATAGGTGCTGGCAGCAGCGACAGTAAGAGCCGGGCCAAGGCAATCCAGGAGAATCGAGTGGAGGAGCATTTTGGAGGTGACTGGGTGGAGGGGGAGGGCGCCTAGGTGGGCCCCGAGGGGCGTGAGGGACTGGTGGGGGTCGAGAGCACCGATGTCTTGCAGGAGGGCGACGGCGTTGGTGATTGCGGCGGGGACCGGGGGCTCGAGGGCTTTTGAGAGAAAGAGAGGGATATCCAGTGAAGGGTCGAGAATCTTGATCTGATGGGGGGAAGGGAGGGAGGGGAAGAGGAGGAAGGGAGGGAAGGAAAGAGGAAGAAGGGAGGAGTGAGGAGAAAGAAAGGAGCAGATGGAGTGAGGGAGCATTCTGGGAGTCGCTGGGAGCTCAAACAAGCCCAGGCTAGACTATGTAAGTGACAGAATCCCAACCAATAGACCACCGAAATAAAATAACACGATAAGTAGCAGATGAATGCGCCCGTAACCCCGGCTAGCAAGCCTGAAACCATTCCCTAGGATCAATCGTGCATCCCCAATGCAGGTCTTCTGACACCCCCTTCACAAGAATGCCCTAAAACATGAACGACAGCGCCAGCATGTGCGACATGGGGATTAGAACCCGAGATCTTCGCTCTGATACAATGTCAGAATCCCAGCCACTAAACCACTGTGATAAATTGGCTTGTTAAGTAGCGGGTCAGTGCACCCATAACCTTCTAAGCTAGCAAACCTGTAACCCTCTCTAGGATCAATCAGGCATCCCCAGTGCAGGTCTTATGACAATAAGCCACAAGAGGGTTAGTGAGAGGGTCGTGAGCGAGAGAGGGTCGTCAGCGAGAGAGGGTCATGAGCGAGAGATGGTAGAGTAGGTCCAGAGCGACGATGTCTTACAGGAGTGCGCAGAGAATCGGGCAAGCAAACGGCGCAATAATACAAGCAACCCAGCCCACTGCACAACTGTACTAAACAACACCACACACTATACCTGCAAGCAAAGCTCTTCCAGGGGCGAGCGTTTGATTTCCGGCGCCTGAAATTCCGGCAGAGACCCAGCTCGCGTGCGCGAAAAGAGATGGAAGCACACCCCCGGCCTGCACCGCCCTGCCCTTCCCTGCCGCTGGCGCGCACTAGCTTTGGACACCCAACAGACCTGCGGGGGCGAGGGGGCGTTAGAAGGAAGAGAGAGGATAGGGTTATGGGTGTGAAAAGAGGTGGAAGCACACCTCTGGTTTGCACCGCCTTGCTCTGCCCTGGCACTGGCGCGCAATGGTTTTGGAGACCCAACAGACCTGAGGGGAAGGGAGATAGAGTGAGGGAAGGGAGAGCGTGCAATCGTCAGCCCCGCATCGGCAATATTCGTTGTAACCACAATCTTCCTCACCCCCCGCCCCGGCCTTTGAGGGGCGCTTCAACAGCTGCAGCCCCATCTTCCGCACGCCCCTCCCTAGCAGCATTTTGAGGCGTCTGAAAAGCTGTCAACCCCCCCATCAAACCACCCACCACCCCTTTCCCTGGCCCCCTTCCACCTACCTGCAGGGTAGACACGTTGGTGTGTGCGTCGTAGCTCTTCTCCTTCAACCTTCCAGAATCAACCACAAACACAACGTCATCAATTGTCAGCACCGTCTCCGCGATGCCGGGCGTGAGCACAACACAAACACAAACACAAGCCCCATCCCGGGCCTCTCACAATCTTCCGCGCGCCCCGTCCCGGCCTTCCTAGTGAGCTGCGATCACAAACTCCCAGTCCCGCCCAGAACACAAACGCAACACACTCGCCCTTTCAAGGTTTCACCCACCTGCAGGGTAGACACGTTGGTGTGCGCATCGTAGCTCTTCTCCTTGAGCCGCCCCGAGTCCACCACAAACACAATGTCATCGATCGTCAGCGCCGTCTCGGCGATATTCGTCGTGAGCACAATCTTCCGCACGCCCCGCCCCGGCCGCTCAAACACCTTCCGCTGATCCGGCATCGGAATCTTTGAGTGCAGCGGCAGTATCAGGAACTGGAACAGCCCCCTTAACCCCTTTCTTCCTCCCTACCACCCACCTGCAGGGTAGACACATTCGTGTGCGCATCGTAGCTCTTCTCCTTCAACCTCCCCGAGTCCACCACAAACACAACATCATCGATCGCCAGCGCCGTCTCTGCGAAATTCGTCGTGAGCACAATCTTTTTCACGCCCCGCCCCGGCCTTCATTTGAGCTGAAAACATTCCCAGTTTCGCCCTGAACAAAAACACAAGACACTCGCCCTCTCAAGCCCCACCCCACCCCACCCACCTGTAGGGTGGACACATTCGTGTGCGCATCGTAGCTCTTCTCCTTCAACCTCCCCGAGTCCACCACAAACACAATGTCATCGATCGTCAGCGCCGTCTCTGCGATATTCGTCGTGAGCACAATCTTCCGCACGCCCCGCCCCAGCCGCTCAAACACCTTCCGCTGATCCGGCATCGGAATCTTCGAATGCAGCGGCAGTATCAGGAACCGCGTCGGATCCCCAAAGACCGAGGACCCCAGCAGTCGGTCTCTCAGTCGGGAGATTTCCTCCCACCCCGGGAGAAACACGAGGATTGCGCAGTCTGGCCCGTTCAGACCTGCACCCCCGTCCCCTGCTGCTGCTCCTCCTGCCTCTCCTGCTCCTCCACCCTCCCTGCCTTCCTTGCTGTAAGTCGGGATGAGAGATGAAAGCTCGTCCTCCTCTTCTCCCTCCTCTCCCTCCTTCTCTTCACCCTGTTTCAGCAGCTGTTGGGCTTTTTTGGAAGCAAAGGCGCTGCTGCTCATGAGTGCTGCCGGCCGCTCTGCCGCGTTGACGCAGATCCTAGTCAGCAGGAGGTGGATGAGGGCCAAATCCACCTCATCATGATCCACAGACGCTTGGTATAAAGAGAGCGCCACTTGCTCCTGTGCTGCCAGCCTTGCTGCTTCTGCACTCACAGGCACAGCCACAGCAGCACCAGCAGCAGCAGCAGCAGCAGCAACGGCATCAGTTGTTGCGTCGGCCTTGGATACCTCTCCCTGCCTCTCGCCTTTCTCTTCCTGCATTCCGTCCCCCTCATCCATTCCCCTCTCCTCCCCTTCCTCTCCCTCCTCAACCTCCTCTCCCTCCTCCGGCACTCCCAAGCCCAGCGCCTCCATGTGTCTCTCCAGCAGCCGGCACACAGCTTCATGGCCGTACATGCGCGCCCAGTCGAGCGCCGTGCTGCCTTCATCTGACGTGAGAGTCACATCTGCTCCCAGCGATAGCAGCATCTCCACCTCCTCTGCTCTTCCCTTGCCTGTAGGGGGGTGGGGAGGGAGAGGAGGTGAGAGCAGGCATGTGTCACTCCAGCAGCCGGCACACAGCCTCATGGCCATACTTGCGTGCCCAGTCAAGCGCCGTGCTGCCCTCGTCTGATGTGAGAGTCACATCGGCACCCAGCGACAGCAGCATCTCCACCTCCTCCGTTCTCCTCTTGCCTGTTGGATGAAAAGGGGAAGGAGAGGAAGCGAGGCCAAACGGGGGCGCGGGAGAGGTGGTGAGAGACCAAGCAGAGGGGGGAGGAGAGGAGGTGAGGGGGAGCATGTGTTTCTCGAGAATCCGGCACACAGCTTCATGGCCGTACTTGCGAGCTCAGTCAAGGGCCGTGCTGCCCTCGTCTGATGCGAGAGTCACATCAGCACCCAGAGAGAGCAGCATCTCCACCTCCTCTGTTCTCCCCTTGCCTGTTGGTCACTCCAGAAGCAAGGGAGGAGGGGAGAAACGAGGAATTGAGTTGAGACAATTTTTTTCAAGAGTTGAGTTAAGACAATCCTTTTCGGGGGCCTGATGGCCGTTCATAGGGAGCGAAGGGATGAGGACGGAGAGAGGAGGAGGAGGAGAGACAAAGCAGGGGCGTGGGAGAGGAGGAGGGTGCGAGACAAAGCGGGGGAAAGCTTAGCACAGACGCGCTCACCAGCAGCAACCATCAAAGGAGTAGCCCCCGTCTCCGAATGCGCATAGTCACATATGTTTATCCTCACACCCCGCCCACCACGCCCACCCCCACCACCACCGTCACCTCTCCCCTTCCTCCTCCTCCTTCGCTTCCCCCCCTTTTGCTTCGCCTCCTCCCCTCCAAACATCTCCTGCAGCTGGCTCTCCTTCCTCTTCCGCCTCAAAATTCGTCTCAACATCCTTCCCTTCTCTCCTCCCACCCCCCCACCACCAACACCATCACCACCATCACCATCACCATCACCACCACCACCGTCACCACCGCCACCACCGCTGCTCTGTGCTGCTGCCATCATCATTCTACTCATCATTCCCTGCAGCTTCGCCTCCTCATGCCCTGATACCACTAGCTCCATCAAATCATCGAAATCATCCGACATCCAAGCGAGTCTTATCGCCTCATCCATGGCTGCTGCGTCCTTTGCTGTTAGACCTATCACCTCCCCTTCCTCCACCTCATCCTCCTCCTCCACATTCACCCCTGCTGTTCCCTCTCCCCCCTCTGCGCCTGCTCCCTCTCCCTCCTCCCCGCCTGCTTCCTCCCCTTCCTCCTCCTCCCCTTCCCCCACCTCCCCTTCCTCCACCTCCTCCTCTCCTTGCTCCTCCCCTTCTCCCTCTCCCTCTCCTGCTCCCTCACCCCCTTCTCCCACACGCACATCAGCTTGTGCTGCAACTTCTTTTTCGACATCCATAGCTTGCAGTGCTCCCTTATTGAAAGCCCCACCAGCGAAATTGTTGCCGTAATTTGTGATGCGAAGGATATCCTCCAGGTACAGCGATCGCACCTGCCAAGCATGAAAAAAATAACATAAAATCAATATATTGCATGTGGAGAATATTTGTCAGGTACAGTATTCGCTCGCACCTGGAATCCAAGTTCATATTGGGAGTAGCAGCAAACCTAGAGAAATTGCTTAAGCAAAAGGATCAAGACTTGTAAAACTCGTTCCTAGAATTTGGTTCGCTCGCACCTGCAAAGCAGTACTTAACGCAAAATGGTTTGTGATACAATACAAAAAAACAACATCAAGATAAAACCAAATGCACATAAATAGCGTGCAACCTGATCCGTAACGTCAGTAACAATTTAACGCGAACAAAAAAACTGACCGGATATGTGAAGCCAGGGACGTTGATGACGGGGCAGCCCCCAAAATAGTTTGCAAACAGCCCGGCATCAAGGGTTGCACTCATAAGCACCTGGGGAGGGAAGATTTGTCCAAGCAATTGGCATTGGCAGCACGTGATTGATAGTCAGTCTTTGAGGAGCCTAGAGAATTGAAGTAGTTTGCACACAGCCCCGCATCCAGGGTTGCACCTGAGGAGGGAAGATTAGTCAAGGCAAATGGCACGTGACTGATAGTTAGTCGACTTTCGAGATGCCTCAAGAAGGAAAATAGTAAATTTCCTGGGAATGATAACTGCATGCATACCAACAGATCGAATTTTGACGTCTCAAAAGGGAGAACAGCTGACATGTCTCAAAAGGGAGAACAGCCAATCACGATAGGATAACAACACATCATCGACTTCTGAGGCGCCTTACAAAATGAACAGAATAGGAGGGACAGACGCCTCAAAAAGGAGAAAGGCTGTTCGAGAATGCTCAAACATATTAAACAGGGAGGTGAGAATGAGGTGAGCAGGAGGTGAGCAGGAGGTGAGCATGAGGAGAGCATGAGGAGAGCATGAAGAGAGCGTGAGGTGAGCATGAGGAGAGCGTGAGGTGAGCATGAGGAGAGCATGAGGAGAGCGTGAGGTGAGCATGAGGAGAGCACGAGGTGAGAGCACGAGATTCTTGCAGGGAGAATGAGGCACTCTAGCATCTAACACCAGGCGATGAGGCATGGGGAGGGGGACCCACCAGCTTGAAAGTGGGTCGCAGGCGACTTTTGAGACGCCTCAAAAGTCGATATCTCTGGCAAGGAAGTGAGAGCATTTGGTGACTGACCAGCTTGAGAGTGGGGTGCAGGCGTAGCAGATCTCTGAGAATGATGAGCATGAAGTCTTCGAATTTATCGCGCTCATGCACCTCGTCCTGATGGGTGTGTGGGGGGAGGGGTAGTGGGTTGGGGGGGGGGAGAGAAGGGGGGGGAGGAAGAGGGGGTTAGATCACGGGTCTCACACACACAGAAGCAGTCGCAGGCGCAGCAGGCCCCTGATAATGATGAGCATGAAGTCTCTAGATTTCTTCGCGCGCATGCACCTGGTCCTGGTGAGCAGTGGGGTGGGGGGAAAGGAAGGTTGGATCACGAGTCTCACAGATTAGTGTTGCGCTCATGCACCTCGATTTTTTAGTCGACTCAAAAATCGACTTATCACACACGGGTCTCACAGATTAGTGCTGCGCTCATGCACCTCGTCATGGTAGGGGGGGGTGAGGGAGAGGATGGGGGCGACAATAAGCCTCGTGCCATGCCATGCTTCATGTCATGCCACGCTTCATGCCATGCCATGCCATGCCATGCCATGCCTCATGTCAGCAGCAGCACTCACCACAATGATGTGAGTCGCATCCAGCTTCGCCAGCACATCTGCATCCACCTCCCTTCCCACTCCCCCCTTCTCCTCCCCCTCTCCATCTCCCCCTCCTTCCCCCTCCCCCTCCCCATCCCCCTCCCCTGCCACACCCTCTGCCATTCCCTTCACAGCAGCAGCTATCGCCTCTCTAACCCCCGGCTCCACAATACTTCCACCTCCGCCCTCCCCACTCCCCACTCCCCCTCCCCCTCCTCCGCCCTGCGCGCCCCTTCCCCCTTCTTTGCTGTGCAAGTGCGCACCCAGCCCCACGAGGCGGCGCAGCAGAACGCCATTGGTGCACATCCAGAGGGATGAGGAGCGGTTTCCCTTCGACTCCAGCCGGATTTGATACCCCACTGTGTGCCCGATCTTCTCCCCTCTCTCCGCTGCTATGCGCTCAGCCACTGGTGGAAGGAAGGGGGGGGGAGGGAAGGGGAGAGACGGGAACAGGGGGAAACGGGGGAGAGGAGACGGTGATAGAGGGGCGAGCGAGGAGTGCAGGAGGGAGGGAGGGGAGGCCAGACAGTCCCACAAGGTGGCGCAGCAGCACGCCATTGGTGCACATCCAGAGAGATGAGGACCGGTTTCCTTTCGACTCCAACCGGATCTGATACCCCACTGTTTGCCCGATCTTCTCCCCTCTCTCCGCTGCTATGCGCTCAGCCACTAAGGAATGGGGGAAAGGGGAAGAAACGGGAAGGAAGGAGAGGGGAAGGTGTTGGGGGGTCCAGTTTTGAGACGTCTCAAACCTCTACATTTATCACGTGGGTCAAGTGCGCCCCCAACCCCACAAGGCAGCGCAGCAGCACGCCATTGGTGCAGAGCCAGAGGGATGAGGAGCGGTTTCCCTTCGACTCCAGCCGGATTTGATACCCCACTGTTTGCCCGATCTTTTCCCCTCTCTCCGCTGCAATCCTCTCCGCCACTGGTGGAAGGAGAAACAGGGGCGAAGGAGTGTTGGAGGAGGGGGTTAACTTCTCAAAGGGGGATATCAAAGGCAACGCAGCAGCACGCCGTTGGTGCAGAGCCAGAGAGACGAGGAGCGGTTTCCTTTAGACTCCAGCCCAATCTGGTACCCCGACTGTTTGCCCGAGAGCTTGTCTCCTCTCTCCGCGGCTGTCCTCTCCGCCACTACAAAATGGGAGGAACGTGGGGGGAAGGAAGGGGAGAATGGGAATGCAGGAAAGCGGGGAGAGGAGAAGGTGTAGTGGGAATAGTGGGGAGTAGTGGGGAGTAGTAGGGGGTAGTAGGGGGTAGTAGGGGGTAGTAGGTAGGGAGGAAGTAGTAGGGAGTAGTAGGGGGTAGTAGGGAGGAGTAGGGAGGAGTAGGGAGTAGCAGGGAGTAGCAGGGAGTAGCAGGGAGTAGCAGGGAGTAGTAGGGAGTAGCAGGGAGTAGCAGGGATTAGCAGGGAGTAGCAGGGAGTAGCAGGGAGTAGCAGGGAGTAGCAGGGAGTAGCAGGGAGTAGTAGGGAGTAGCAGGGAGTAGCAGGGAGTAGCAGGGAGTAGCAGGGAGTAGTAGGGAGTAGTAGGGAGTAGCAGGGAGTAGTAGGGAGTAGCAGGGAGTAGCAGGGAGTAGCAGGGAGTAGTAGGGAGTAGTAGGGAGTAGCAGGGAGTAGTAGGGAGTAGCAGGGAGTAGCAGGGAGTAGCAGGGAGTAGTAGGGAGTAGTAGGGAGTAGCAGGGAGTAGCAGGGAGTAGCAGGGAGTAGTAGGGAGTAGCAGGGAGTAGTAGGGAGTAGCAGGGAGTAGCAGGGAGTAGCAGGGAGTAGTAGGGAGTAGTAGGGAGTAGCAGGGAGTAGTAGGGAGTAGCAGGGAGTAGCAGGGAGTAGCAGGGAGTAGTAGGGAGTAGTAGGGAGTAGCAGGGAGTAGCAGGGAGTAGCAGGGAGTAGTAGGGAGTAGCAGGGAGTAGTAGGGAGTAGCAGGGAGTAGCAGGGAGTAGCAGGGAGTAGTAGGGAGTAGTAGGGAGTAGCAGGGAGTAGCAGGGAGTAGCAGGGAGTAGCAGGGAGTAGCAGGGAGTAGTAGGGAGTAGTAGGGAGTAGCAGGGAGTAGTAGGGAGTAGCAGGGAGTAGCAGGGAGTAGCAGGGAGTAGTAGGGAGTAGTAGGGAGTAGCAGGGAGTAGCAGGGAGTAGCAGGGAGTAGTAGGGAGTAGCAGGGAGTAGTAGGGAGTAGCAGGGAGTAGCAGGGAGTAGCAGGGAGTAGTAGGGAGTAGTAGGGAGTAGCAGGGAGTAGCAGGGAGTAGCAGGGAGTGCAGGAGGCAAGTGCACCATCAGCCCCACAACGGCGCAGCAGCAGCACGCCATTGGTGCAGAGTCAGAGGGACGAGGAGCGGTTTCCCTTCGACTCCAGCCGAATCTAATACCCTACGGTTTACCCCACCCATTTCAGCAGATGATTTACCAGAAGTAGCATATATTCGTCTGGGTTGGGTGCAGAGCACGCGGCAGCACCTGCCCTTCCCCCACTCGTGGTCCAAAACAAATTGAGGCACCTGCGTGGTCTTGCCTTGCCTTGCCACACCCCGTCAGCCCATTCTGACCCCCCCCCCCCCCCCACACACACACACTCGTTCTCACCATCAGAACCACCCTATACCCAGAACCTTCCTTAACCCAGAACCTTCCTAAACCCAGAACTTTCCTAAACCCAGAACCTTCCTAGAACCAGAACCTGGGTGGCCTTGCCACACCACACCCCCTGCTTCTAGCTCCCACACACCCATCTCATTCTGAATCACTCCCTACAGCCAGTTTCAGCAGATGAATTACCAGAGTCACTTACTACCACACACCACCCACCAGAAGTAGCGGAGATTCGTCTGGGTTGGGTGCAGAGCACGCGGCAGCGCCTGCCCTTCCCCCACTCGTGGTCCAGAATAAACTGGGGCACCTGGGTGGTCTTGCCGCACCCCGTCTCCCCCACTATCAGCACCACCTGGTGCTGCTCTATCGCCCGCGTTATCTCCTCTCGATACGCCATGATGGGTAGTGACTGCCGCTTCTGTGTGATCTGCCGGGGAGGGAAGGCGAGAAAGAGGAAGTGTATGGGCGGAGGGGAGAAGGGGGGTCGGGGAATGGGCAGGGCAGAAGGAGAATGAATGACCTGCGGCACCTGGGTGGTCTTGCCACACCCCGTCTCCCCCACTATCAGCACCACCTGGTGATGCTCCATTGCCCGCGTGATCTCCTCCCGATACGCCATTATCAGCAGCTGCTGCCGCCTTGCTGTGATCTGGCAGGGGAGGGAGGAGGAGAGGGTGGGCTGGGGACCAGCAGGCGTGTCACCTGCTGCTGCTCTACTGTCCGCATAATCTCACCGCTTTCAATCTCACCGCTTTCAATCTCACCGCTTTCAGTGAAGCCATGCTCGCCAGTCTGTCCGTTAGAGCCTTCACCTGTGCCTGCACCCAAGGGTCCCCTCTTCCCCCCTCCATTTGAGGTGCCTCGACACCAGTCTTCAACCGCTTTCAACCTCACTGCTTTGACTCTCACCGCTTTGAGTGAAGCCATGTTCGCCAGTCTGTCCGTTAGAGCCTTCACCTGCGCCAGCACCCAAGGGTCCCCTCTTCCCCCCTCCTCCTCCTCATCCTTCCCCTTCCCCTTCCCTTTCTCCACCTCCATCTCCTTCCCCTGCACCTTCCCCTGATCCTTCCCCTCATCCGTTCCCCCTTCCCCCTCCCCCACCCCTAGTCGCGCCATAGCCCCAGTCACTTTCTCCTCTTCCTCGTCATCCCCATTACCACCTCCGCCTCCCCCCCCCCCAGCCCCTGCTGTCACCCCGCCAGCTCCCCCTTTCCCCCCGCCAGGCCCCCCTTTCCCCTGCGTCCTTCCCCTTCCTGCAGCAGCGTCCGCCAGATATCCCCCTGCCTGCATTGCTGACGTCATCTCCAGCTCCGTGGGGGGGTGGGCCAGCAGCAGCGCCAGCACAGCAGCTTCGGATTCGGACGAGAGAGTCAGGCTCGGGAGGGATTCCGCCGTAGGCCCGGTGGAGCCCGAACCTGGTCCTTCGGTGAGCTTATGTCGGGAGGTTCGGTAGACTGTCAGTCGACGGTTGGATTGTTTCCTGGATGAGAAAAAAGGGATAGAACGAGGGAGAGATGGGACTCAGTTTAGCACGTGTACATAACTGAGAGAAAGACTTTTGAGGCGCCTCAAAGGTCGCCTCAAAAGGCGCCTCAAAAGTCGCCTCAAAGGTCGCCTCAAAATTTGTTTAGCAGGTGTACCGTGTAAATAACTGAGAGAATGAGAAACTGTGCAGTGCAAGTGAGTCAGAGCAGAATGGGCGCCCAAGTTACGAAAATACACACCAAGGAGGGAGAGAAAAAGGAGGGAGTGCATTGCTTGATACCCTTTCCCCTTCCTACCGCGACAGCAAGTGCCCGCATATGCACACAGCAACACTGAACAGATATCCATGCATATACATATGAATGTACATACATATGCATGAACGTATATACATGTGTACTTATGCATAAACACCCTGCAAAAGTGAGACAAGCATACACACATACCCACAGCTTCTAGAGACGAAGCCCATCTTCCAGCACAGCTCGTGCACCACGGCCCTGCAGGGTGTTTTTGAAATTTCTCAAAAACACCCTGTAAAAAAAGGGCAACCATAAATACATACCCGTGGCTCCTGGAGACGAAGCCCATCTTCCGACACAGCTCGTGCACCACTTCCCTGCCGTGGTTGCTCAGATCTTTGAGACGTCTCAAAAATCACATGAAAGCAACTATAAACACCTACCCGCGGCTTCTAGAAACGAAGCCCATCTTCCGACACAGCTCGTGCACCACTGCCCTGTCATGGTTGCTCAAATCCGCCTCAAACGTCATTTCTAGAGAAAAAATAGAGAGAGAGAGAGAGAGAGAGAGAGAGAGAGAGAGAGAGAGAGAGAGAGAGAGAGAGAGGAGGGAGCGAGTAAGGGTTGGTGAGAGGCAAGCTACACTAGCGGACCCTTGGGACCAGCTCGTGCACCACAGCCCTGTCATGGTTGCTCAAATCCGCCTCAAACGTCATCTCTGGGAAGGGGAGGGAGTGAGGGAGGGGGAAGGAGAGAGGGAAAGGGAGGGTTTAGGGAAGGGGAGGGAGGGAGCGCAGGGGAGTGAGAGAGGGCTGATGAGAGGCAATCTACAATTGAGGACTCTCGGATCTAGGTGGTGCACCACAGCCCTGTCATGATTGCTCAGAGAGGAGGGAGAGAGAGAGGATTGGTGAGGAGCAATCTACTATTGAGGACTCTCGGATCTAGCTCATGCACCACCGCCCTGTCATGATTAAGGTCGCTCGAGCAACGTCTGGAACGAAACCTCCCCTGGTTTGGTGCCGTCGTGGAACTCTTCGAGCCTGGCGGCGACGGAAATCCGCGTGGATTCACACACTGGCCGCATTCCCGCCTACACAGGTCGCTCGAGCACTGCCTGGAATTGAACCTCACTCACCTGGTTCGGTTCCGTCGCGGAACTCTTCGAGCCTGGCGGTGACGGAAATCCGCGTGGATTCCGACACTGGCCGCATCCCCGCCGTCCCGCGAAACCGGTTCTTCTTGTCGCGATTCATCTTCGATCGCTTCTTTGAGCTCCGATCGGTTTAAAGCGGTCTAAACTGCTCAGATCGTTTCGCTAGGGATTCAACAGCTTAAATTGTTTCACGCCGGCCTAAATGGATCAGATGGAATCAGGACAGTGTGAACGGCTTGAAAAAATTCACAGCCCGCCTGAACGGTTTAGGTTGCTTCAAACGGCACGAACGTTCTAGTTGCTTCACAACAGCGCAAGCGGGTTCAAGCGAATCTCGTGTCGGTCAAATTCACCACGCAGCCGCAGCCGCATCCGCTTCCGCATATCACAAGAAAGCAACTTGCGGCTACTACGCAACGCCCTGGAAGGACAACCAGGTTGCCTGATCAATCGTTGGAAGGAATTTCCTAAAGCGTGGGCGCCCGAGGGTTTTGGCTTCGCATGCTCGCTAAGACGTTTCGACTGAAGATACAAGACATAAAGGCCAGATAATATACTGAACGTGTTATGCATGTGACCTAACGATTCAGAGCATATAATGTATTTGCATTGGTATAGTGCAAACTCGTTCTATTAAAAAAAAGCATATAATGATGTTAATGAACAATCTAGAAGAATTCTATGGTTGTTACTAGTTATGAAAACCGTGAATGATACAGAAAAGGTATAAATGAACATTGAAACATGACGCATAGTGACAGTTCTATGTTTCTTTTCTTCTGTGGAGTGCATCCATCCAGTTGTAACTGATTAGGAAGTTTTCTACATATAGTAGTTTGGACGCGTACAAGGAGTGTCAGGGCGTGTGCTTTTGTCCTCTAAATTGTACAAATCGAACTTTGAAATCTAAGTTCGTGTCCGTAGGGTTGACATGTCAAGTGAGAGCATGTCAACCCAAAGCGCATTCAAATTAGAGTGTCAAGCCTTGTAGCTGAAGTGTCAGGTCGAAGCGCATGTACGAACATCAGCGACGCAATTTCAATGGTTTGAGAATTTGTCATGGGTGGATCCGCTAGGCAGCGAACGATTCAAAAGACAGATTGTGTGCTGATTGGGCAGCATATTCTCGTGAGTTAGGCCCCTGTGACAAACTTCTCTCGTTTGTAGGTTTGACTGTGCCAATTTCAAAAGTGTCCGACGATTTGTATTGGCTGACAACCTGCAATTTCTTGACACCCTGCCATCAATGTTAGCTGAGTGTCAAAATGCCAAATTGAAACACTACCCACTTTGACATGTCATCCCTACGGACACGACCTAACTAAGAACTCCCATTTTCAAACTCGTGCCTCTTGGCGGGATCTAAAAAATAGCTCGGGCACTCAAAGTAACACATTTCAAGGTTCGAAAGCTTCGCGCTTCATTTCGGAACAGATTCGCCACTATCGCTCGCACTTAGACCGAGTTAGATGTAATGCGAAAGCTTGTCGCGAGCGTCATAGCGAAGTGGTCTGGGTGGAAAAAATGCTTGAACTACAGTACAGCACAGTTGTTTGCAACAACCTCGAGATCACATTTGAACAGTTCAGTCCAAAGGTACAATATTCCGAATCTTTCTTCAACTGGGTCTCTCCGTCCGTACAAACCATCCCTCCCCCCCTCCCCATGGTCTCTCTTTTCCAATATTTGTCTACCCGCGTGTCTCTAAATTTAGAGCTCTAATTCGGAAAACTCTGCTACTTTCCGAGATTCTGTAGGTAATGCGGCTGCATCCGTGTGTTTGGTTTTGCGACCTGACCTGTGAGCGCACCCAAACGAGGGACCTCGCCAGAGTCCAGCATCGAAAAAAACAGTCTCCTATCATCGTTCAGAGCAGAAACAGTCAATACCTCTGCGAATATTTGTTTACATGAAACTGTTGCAAGAAGAACCCTAACCTACAATATATTTTACCTTTTCCTGACCGCAACCGAGTGAAAATATGACACTTCAAATCAGCTTTCCTGGAAACCACCTTGCCCTTCCGGGCAGGGTGGCGGGTGGGGTGAAACCTGAAACAAAAGAGTGCCTAAAAATGAAAAAAGTGAGGCCTGTCCTGCCCTCCCCTCCTTACCGAACCAAACAACCACAAGCCCAACCACTTGGCAGTCGGCTCGGCAACTTTAGGACCACCACGGCTTCTTGCTTCCCAGTCAGCTAGCTTGTGGGCATTGACTCAGCGAACGTCGACCCAACCAGAAGCTGCCTGCAATGTAGTCCACGTGGCAAGCAGCATTGGCAGTCCGTCGATTCGTCAGAAGATCACTACAGTTGTAGCGTTGTTCGACCGAATTTTCGATTTCGTTCTGTATACAGCTTGTTTTGGCATGGCTGGAACCAGAAATGTGGCACATTTCTGGCACATAAACTCGTTTGCTAAACCAGAAACCTGTTTTGGCATTGCTGGAGCCAGAGATTTGCTGGACTCGTTTATTCATAAATTTGCTGACCCGCTTTCAAGCACGAACAACTCTCAAACCGTCGTGCTTTGTCATTTGGCTCGGCTGTTCTGAACAAGTGGCGTTGCGTCTGATGAGTTTGGTTTGGGATCCGAATGTCAACGAGGGTTTTCGTTGTCAAGTACAAAACTTCAAAGTGTATTGTCTGGTCTGACCAGGGTTCCACTTGGCCACCGTCGTTTCAGCCATAGTCAGCAACAGCCATTCGTGTGGTCCTCCAACGCTCTGGCCACATCCTCGACTGCAGTTTACGCACCTGCTATTTCTTCCCTTTCTCCTCGTCCATAACCATCCCTGGCCTCACCCCTTTCTCTCCCACATTTGTGTTTTCTGATTGTTGTTGCACCACTCTCTTTTCGTCTGGCCGAACTGTACATCGTTTCGAGTCACCGCACCCTTACTGTACAGCTGTCTGTTTAGGGTGACGCCCCCTGCTACTGATATAACAGTACACTGGTTCAAGTAAAAGTAAAAGTAACACACATTACATGAGGAGGACGAGTCTGGGAGCAAATCAATGGCGACAGGGACAGAGGGCGTTGGCGCAAGAGGCAACGCTTTCATCACGTCCCTAAATCCCGCCGCCCTTCACGCTTACGTCTGCGCCATGGAGAGCGGCATGATCGGCAATATCTGGTCACCCACAGCCGTCGGATCTCCTAATGTTCTCTCCCCGTCCGCGGCTCTTGTGACGCAGCCGAACTGTAGTAACCCTAACGCCCACCGCCCCGCGGCTACTAATGCGCCGTGCAGCAACAATGCTGATGACTCGAAACCGAAGAGGAGTCGCGCTCTCGTGCGACGTTGCGACTCTGCGTCGGCTGCGGATGTGTCGCACGTGGTCGTTGGCGCCGCAGGGCCTGGGGCCGCGCCGCCCTCCCTCGGCACTGCCGGCAGGAGCAGGACGAACACCGAGGCACCTCGAATCGTGACGCCGTCTCAGATCTCCCCGCCGGCGGCCCTCGGTACAACCGTTGCCGCCGGCGCCGGCAAGAGCAGGACGACGGCTCGGTCGCACAACCGGACGCGCTCCGTCAGCTGCATTCAGAGCAGCGGGCTCGAGTTCCACTTCCCCTTGTCGCTCGCGCAAGGCGCGCAAGTCGGCGCGCAAGTCGTCGCGCATGGCGGAGCGGAAGGACGCGCAAAAGATGCGATTACCTCTCCGCCAACTGGCTCTGCCCCTTCCGGCGCCGCAAACGACGGGAAGGTCAAACTCACCCGCGCTCTCACCGAGCGTAATGGCACGAGTGCCGCGAGTGGCACGGGGAGTGGCGCAGGGAGTGGCGCGGGGAATGGCGCGGCGGGGTCGCGGCGGGAGTTCACTCGCAGCCGAACCACCTCAGAGCGAGTGGGTGACTTCGACACTCCGCAATCTCCGCGAGCAACCACCCGCACCCGCAGCCGCAGCCCGATAAGCTTCGCGGCTTCCCCCGAAACGCAGCGCCTTCCACCTCTCGCCGCCCGCTCGGAACCGGATCCTGCGGCGGCGCCGCCAGCGCCCTCCGCAGCGCCCTCTTCCGCAGCTCGCCGTTTCCCCGATCTGTACCCAGATTGCGGCGATACCGATGGTAGCCCGCGCGACCCGCGCCGCAAGAGCGACTCGGATGCCTCCGTCGATGACCTATACCCCAGCTCAGGCGCTGTCTTTCCGCGATTTGCCTCCATCGGCGACGTTTCAAGCGCCGAGGCCTCAGACATTGTCGGTAACGATAACGCTAACCGTAACGCTAACGCCAAGAAAAAATTGCATCCGGCGTTATCCCGTCGCTCCCGCTCTGCGGGCTCTCAGTCAGCCGCCGCATTGGCCGCTAGTATGGGTGTCTCTCGCGGTGAAGCGGTGGCTGGCGCAGATGTCGGCGGATCGCGCACGGGACCGTCTGTAGTGCAGCTCGCGCCGCGGATGGGCTTTGTGGATTGGGCGGGAATCGGCAGCCCGAAAACGGGCGGAACTGCCGGCGGTGCCAGCTTCGGCGCCAGTAGCGGCAGCGCCAGCGGTGGCGGCAGCAGCGGCGGCGGCGGTGGCAGTGGCGCGAGCAAGCTGAGGTTACAACCGTTGGACAGCAGCAAGTCGCCCTCTTCCGCCAGTCCATCCCCGCGCTTCCCCGTAGCCATTCCCTCCCCTTCCGCCGCCTCTCCGCTACCCGCGGGACCAATGCCTGGCTCGCGGAGCCTCCCCCCTGCCGCTTTCCCATATTCTACTGGTGCGCCCCCGCTCTCCCCGCTTGGCCGCGCCGGCACTGCCGTAGTTCCCCGCCCCACCCATCGCCGCGCCATAAGCGCCGCGCAGTTGTCCCCGCGTGTGCCTTCCCCGTCTGCGCGCCTAGTGCGCCCGCCGAGCTCGCCTTCTGTCGCGGGGAAGGCGTCAGGTGCAGCCGCGCCCGTTATCGCCGCCGCAGCCGCAGGGGGAACCAGTCGCTCCGCGTCCGCATCCGCGTCCGTGCCCGCGGTCGCACGCTCTTCTCCCCGTGCGCGCATCGCGCAATCGACGACGGGGCCTTCTTCCGCGGCACGCGAAGCTACGGCGGAGGATGGTGGTGCATACGCGGAGAGTACCGGCGCAACTGCGAATCGCGCGGGGAAGCCAACGCCGATGCTGAAGCCAGTGCCGCGGAGCATGAGCGCAGAACCCGCGCTTGCGCTTCCCGTGCTTGCGCATCCCGTGGGACTGGAGGGGCAGGGGGCGCAGGCAAAGCAGCATCATGTGGGGCAGCAGCAGCAGCAGCAGCAGTTGCAAGGCAGCAGTCGCGAGCATGTGGGGAACTACCGCCGCGCTGCCCCCTCGCCTCTCGCGGTTCCTACGCGGCGCCGCAACAGCATGTCCAGCATGCCGCAGGGCGACGCAGCTTCAAATTCCGCGCGTGCGGGATCGGCCGCGGCGAATGGCGGCGTGCGTATCGGAAGCGCTAGGGGGCAGGGTTCACCATCCGCAGGCGCATGGCCCGCGCGCAGCCCTGTGGGGACGGCTGGGGGAAGGTTGGAGGGAACTAGTGGGGAAGGTCGTTCAAGCGTAACTGGAGGGAATCTGACATCGCAGCAGCCACGCGTCCGGGGGGGTGCAAAAGGGCCTGATGCTACTTCGCCTGAGCTTTCGCCTAGCAGTGCTGCGGCCGTCGCAGTAGCAAGCGCTGCGATTGGTCGAGCGGGGGGAACTCTTTCGCAAAGCCTACCCACGCGAACGTCGAATTCCGCCCAACCTCCCGTGCGGTTCACTCATGGTTCCGCGCCGAACAGCCCAGCCGAACGTTCACGTCCCGGCCAGACCGAAGGTGCAGGTTCGGCATCCACTCTCGCGAACGCAGCAGCTCAGTTGGGTGCGGCGACGAACAATCTCCTGGGTGGTGTTACAAGTGTAACAGGCAAAACAAAAGTTGGAATTTTTGGTTCCAATATGAATACACCAGACATGCTTTCTCCTCCCAGCCTTATAACTAAGCTCCCAACTGCCAGCGCTCCCAGAGTATCACCTCCCCCACTTGCTCCTAGCCCTCCCCGTTCCTCGCCTCCCCCAGTTGCACCTGCGCCAGGAGGAAATGGCTGCAAGGAGCAACAGGTGGCGTATAGCAGCCAAATGCTCTCACAGCAGCAGCATTTGAAGCAGAGGCAGCAGGCAGCTAGCAGGAGAACCTACAGCGTAGATTTTGACTTCAGGGGAACCAAATCCAGCAGCAGTAGCACCACCACCACCACCACCACCACCGCGACCAGCACCAGCGCCAACAGCACCAGCAGCAGCGGAATCAGCAGCGGCATCGCCAGCACCGGCAAGAGTCCAGTGAGGGCCAGTGGCAGGGGGGGAGCCGTGATTCTAACGAGCCCGTGCCCCAGCCCGTCCCGCGCACAGGTTGTGCTTATAGACGGAGTCCCCATGCCCCTCCGCAGCGCCCTCAAGAGCCCCAGCATCGACATCGGCCTTGGGAATACCGGGGTAAACCTTGGGAATACCGTGGGAAGGAGCTCTAGTGTTAGCCCTATTTTCCGCCATGCATCGCCGCTGGTAGCGAAAGGGGGAGGCGGGGGGAGCAGTGGGGAGAAAGAGGGGAGAGAAGGGAAGGCGGGGAATGAGGGGAAGGAGGGGAAGGGAGGGAGGGTGCTGCACCCCCAGGCGCAGAATAGTCCGAGGAGGGTGAGCTTTAGTGGGTATGTGGAAGTGCAGGAGTATGTGAGGGATAGTGAGGGGAGGGGGAGAACAAGAGGGCGATAGGGTGAAGTGCAATTCAAACGGCTCTTGCAGGGGTGCAGAGTGGTACGAGGGTGAGCTTCAGTGAGTATGTGGAAGTGCAGGAGTATGTAAGGGATAGTGAGGGGAGGGAGAGAACGAGAGGGCGATAGGGAGGGGTTTGATATTAGGGAGTGAAAAGTCACTGAAGGATATTGTAGGGTTGTGATTCCCATGGGTGCAGAGTGGTTTGAGGTGAGCTTTAGTGGGTATGTGGGTTGTACTGGAGTGTGTGTGGCGTAGTGAAAGACATACTCATGTGTGGAGCGAGGGGGAAAGCGAGGGGGAAAGCGAGGAGGGGACAGTAGGGAGCGAGTAGGACGATACTCATGTGTGGAGAGCCAGATTTGGAGGGCCAGGTTTGGAGGGCCAGGTTTGGAACTTGGAGGCTCAAGAGTGTTATCTGCTACGCAGAGGGAGGTGCTTGCAGCGCTGTAGCAACCTGATGGCTGTGCTACTGTTATTCCTTGTAGCTGTAGCAAGGAAGTGTAATGGTGACACCATGGCATGACTTCTTTCTGACAGTCTGACACGCAATCAGCAATCTTATGTCTGAGCAGAACCGTCAGACAATGGCGAATCCGACAGTGATACGTATAACCTGCAGTGTGGTGGAGCGCCTAAGGTTATTGGTGCTCGATGCTCATCCGTGTGATGTTACCATGTATCATCATCATCCTCTCAACCTCAGCTGCCTCGTCTATCTTGTGGTGGTCTCTGCTTGTCGTCAGTTGTTTCTTACCGCACCTACCTACCTACCGTACATGTATCTCTTGTGCTTGCTAGTTAGTCAGTGCCCTGTGCAGGGCCGTGTTGACTTACTGTAGCTAACTTGTGCCAGATTTCAGCTCCATGTGTGGTTTCAATACCGTATCAACTCTGATACCCATGTGTACCGTACATGCCTTTTCTTCTCTTCGAGACAAAGAAACCTCACTCTGGCACTCTGTGTCACTCAGGCACTCTGGGTCACTCTGGCACTCTGTGTCACTCTGGCACTCTGTGTCACTCTGGCACTCTGTGTCACTCAGGCACTCCGTGTCAGAGTGCTTGCATTGCATTGCAACAGACATGCTGCAACATGGAGCATGTGTGTGGTACATGAAGAGCCTAGAGCATTGCAACAACAGAGCCACACGACAGACTACAAAGCATATTTAGCCACAAAGTACAGCGCCAGTGGTACCAGCCTTATCAATCCATGCACGAACGTCCCAGCAGCAGCAGCCTTCCTCACACACCCCCTCGCATGCTGCGGCAGACTCCCCCGGCCGCCCACAAGCCGCACTCTCAGCACCACACACGCCACCCACAGCGGCACCCCATCCACCATACAGCACGACCCGGTAACCGCTACAATATACCAGGTCTCCCCCGTCGGCTGGGAGAAAAACAGGCTGATTCCGAGGAGTAGAGGCGGCCAGACGGCTAGTAGAGACGTCCACCATTCACGGCCTTTGCAGTTCCAGGTGCTTAGGAGAGTGAGGAGCTCGCAGAGGGAGCGGGCGAGGAGGTAGGATGCGATGGGGGTGGTGAGGGAGGTGGAGGGGGAGAAGAGGTAGAGGGCTGCTAGGAGGGAGGCGGTTGAGAGGTCTGCAGAAGCGTAGCATGCTGCTTGCTTGCACTCTTTCCCCTGCTGTGATGGGGGAAAAGAAGAGGGGGGAATGGGGGAGGGAAGGGAGACAGCCAGGGAAAAAGGTGGGGGAGGGGCGGAGGGAGAGATGGATGGAGGGTGAGGAGCTCGCAGAGGGAGCGGGCGAGGAGGTAGGATGCGATGGGGGTGGTGAGGGAGGTGGAGGGGGAGAAGAGGTAGAGGGCTGCTAGGAGGGAGGCGGTTGAGAGGTCTGCAGAAGCATGGCATGCTGCTTGCTTGCACTCTTTCCCCTGCTGTGATGGGGGGAGGGAGAGGGGATGGGGGAAGAGAGTGGGGAGGGTGGGGAGAAAAGTGGGGGCCAGAGGTAATAGGAGGCGATGTGAGTGGTGAGGGAGATACTAAGTTACGGAGCAATGAAGGGCCGTAGCAATGACAGCAGCATGAACGTACCAGGAGCAGCCAGAGCACGAAGCAGTAAGAACCCAGCACCACGCCTCTCCCTCCCAGCACACCCATAACCGCCAGCCACACAGTCCCGCTGGTTCCCTTAGCAGTCGTAGGTCCCTCAGTAACCATAGGAGCCCAGAACAGCAGAGAGAAGAGCACTAGTCCAGCAGCAGTAACCGCCATGGCTAGGAGGAGAAGCAGCCACACGTATTCCACCATTTTCCCCATGGGTATTCTTCCTGGTAACCCTGGGATGGCGAGGGTATCTTCCGGTTTCCACCTGTGGGTTCTTGAGCGAGTTTCTTTCCAGGTGCGCCCGTCATCCCAGTCCCCGAACCACTGGACCGTTTTGGATGGGTCCAGAACGATTTCCGAGCCTAGCAGTGGGTGCAGAGTGGTGGGATCCGGTGCAGCGCTGTTGTGTAGTGGTTCGCATGGGTGTTCGCATGGCTGTGGTGAGCGCTCACAGCTGGTGTGTAGCAGCTGCGGCCTCTGGTTCTCGATATAAGCTGCCTCGTTTGTATCACAGGGCTCCATGAGAATACCAGCCTTATTGCCAGGGTAGGGTAGTAACGTCACAGGAGCACCCCAATCCACAGTAGTGTTGTGAGTGACCTGCCTAGCATTGACTGCAGCACTAGCAGCAGCAGGTGGGTCTATGCCCCTGCTATTCCTGCTGCTGCGGTTGGTGCTGCCACTGCTGCTCCCACCACCACTACTGCCACTGCTCATGTTATTGTTGTTGTTGCTGCCTCCCACACCAAGCCTGCTGCTTCTGCTGCCTCTGCTGCTTCGGTCGTTCACACTGGCGTTTCTGGCAGGGCTGTTGCTACTCGTGCTGCTTGCGCCTTGCAAATCCACATCTTCTCGGCTCACTTCACCCATGCGTTCACAGCCACCCCTCCCAGATTGCCACGTGGCAGCTTCTCCCGGGCCTGGAGCAGATGTGATCGCTGACGTGGCGTCATCACTCTCTGTGTTCATGGGTTCGTTTGTTCCACTCCCTCCCATGGTGGCCCATGCACCCTTTTCTGGGCTGATAGGATTTTGCCGGCTGCTGCTGATGCTGATGCTGCTGCTGCTGCTGCTTAGTGCCGATTTTGAGCGTTCTCCATCGATTCTCCCACCTACTCTCCCACCATTAACTGCTCTGCCGCCGCCGCCACTACTGCTACTGTCACCACCGTTTTCATCGACATCAGCATCACCATCATCACCATCGTTACTGTCTCCGCCGTCGTCGCCAGCGTAGCCGTTTTTCTCCTCGTCGCTGTCGTAGCAGTCGTGACTGTAACGAAACGGGCTGGCGTGCAGAAACGCGTACGGGTCCCCCTTCGCGGTCGCGCTCTGGCTCTGGGGAATGACGGCGGGCTGCGCCCAGGCGGAACGGGAGGCGGAGTAGCAGTGGAGATGCGCGGCCGGATGCGCGTAGGGGGCGGGGGAGGCGGAGTAATAGCTAGCGGAGGGGGAATAATGGAAGCGGTCTGCGGAACAGGGGAGAGGGGAACCAGAGGCGGAATAGGCGGCGGCGCGAGGGGAAGGCGACGCGGGGGAAATAGGCGCCGCGGCGGTGGTGAGCGGAAGATCGAGGCGGAAGGTCGAGCGGCGGAGAAACGGATCCGCGGAAGGCTGGGCGGAGTCGAGGTATCGCGACATGAGCCACTGGTGCGTCTTGTCGTGACCCGCGCCCGACGCATCGGCGTCACTCACGGACACGGAACGCGCGTGAGATGTTATGTTGCTGGCAATAGCGGCGCGGCCGGCGACGCCGCTGCCTCTCATTACGCGCTCAGCGGCTCCTGCCTCGCTTGGTGCACAGTCACCATTGATAGAAACCCTCGCGACCGCATGTCCCGGCGCATGTCCCGCCGAATGTCCCGTCGCGGCCCCGGCCGGCGCAAACCCGGATCCGTCGCTGTCGACTCGCGCCGTCACCGTAGCCACGCCTCGCGCGGCTCCCCGCGCCGAGTCTGCGCCTTCCGCGGTTCCAATCGCGACGCGCTTCTCAGCGCCCCTGTCGGTACTGCTGCCGCCGCCGCTGCCACTGCTGCTGCTACTGCCTGCTTGCGGCGCGCCTTTTGCGCTGATCGCTTCTCGCGCCGCCAAAATTTGGACTATCATTTGCTCGGATTCGGGGGAGCCTAGATCCGAATACGACTCGCTATTGTCCGAATCCGAGTCGTACGCGTTAGAGTCATCTGAGGAGTCCTCGTCCTCGCTACAAGACTCGATCGTTACCGCCCACAGGGGAACCGAATTCCGCATCCCCGCCATGCACCCTCCGCCGCTTCCGCCACGCGGGGGCCGCCAAAGCGGGGGGCGCCCCCCCGACGGCGCGATGCGCGCGATTGCGGGGAAGCATGAGCGCGGCTGAGGCGGCGCCAGCTTCGAGGCTGGAGCAGACCTAAAAAAACGATTCGGAAAAATGCGGCACGGGAGGATGCGATTCCGAGATAATTTGCCCACAAGATAGATCCAACGCCTTCTAGGACCGTGCCGAGGCGCTTTATATTCACTAATTAGTAGCGCCGTGCGCTGGAAAACAAAGATATCTTGAAGATACGCCGGAGACGTGAATGAGGCTTCCTGCTTTATAACTCCCAAAAGCCCATCGTGAGAAGCACCTGGAAAGGAGCAACTGTCCAATGGCTCGTCAAGACAAGCGTCACTAACGGGACGGGAGGGACAAGCGGCGAGGGCGGGGAAAGGCGCAACTGAAGCGGCGCTGCCTGTGACACGGCATGAGAGAGTGGAGTTTACGGGATTCGCAGCTAATGAAATTTGAGAGCGAAAATTGAAGCAGCCGTGTGAATTAGGCATGATGTCTACTGCTCCATTAGGCGTGTTGTGTATTGGGAGTGGAGAGAGCAGCAGCAGAAGGAATGGCACAGCTCGCGCCGCAGTTCGTTCCTTTTTTTTTGCAAATGTTGTGGGCAGGGGAAATGTCTGAAAACCGCGTTGCTTTCGTCAATTCGACGAGCCGCTCACGACATTGTGACGCGGTTTGAAGGAAGAAGAGAGGATTTCAGGGGTTTACCGACACAGCCAGCATCAGGTGACTGCGGGCAGAATCAAAGTTCTCAGGGACGAAATTCAGAAGTCCGTGATATTTTTTTTTCGTCCTGCCACAAAATATGGACAACGTCAACTGCCTGCTGTCCTCCATATACAACCATCTTCGCGCAAGTGCCGAGTAGACTTACGAATTAGCCCAACGTAAGAGACATGTTTCAGAAAAATATGCGGAAATGAGAATAGGTTTTCAGTAAAAGGTGATCTCCACAAACCGAGCACTTTTACAATGCAAGAGATGCATGTACAAAATACACCAGATAAAAATGTACAGTCCTTAACAAGAAGATGTACACATAGTACGACGAAATTTACCTTACCTAGTGCATCCTCACCACAACTTACGGTAGGAGGAATACCAATCCGAACAAAATCTCCTCAGTCATCTACACCTTACGGCAAATCCACACTGCTCACACCTTGTTGGGCTGAGAAAAGCCCTTAGAATCGTTCAAGGCTAAGAGTGTTAAGAATGTTGTATTGCGGAAGCGTTTAGTGATAAACTGTTGAACCACCTTGCGCTAGTGTGTGAGGGCAAGATAGATTGATTATAGAAAAGTAGTACATGTAAAACTTATATGCTATAGTCTGTGTAGGCTGTAGTGTGGTAGTTCATATGGGGTACAACACTTTAGGGTTTCCTACTTGTACTCCTCATGCTGCTCAATGCAATCATTCCTCGTTCTATCTTTCACATGGTTTCAGAGCAGGTTCCCTAGTGGGAACGTTTTCTTTTAGGGCCCACCACGATCGTTTTTTTTTTTTTTTTTTTTCCTGCCCTGCTCCAAGCGCGCCTCGCGTCTGTCTCACATGCGCCGTCGCGCGCCCTGCCCTACTGCCGCCCGTAGCGGCCCTGCCCTACCGGCCCGTCGCGGCCCTGCCCTAACGGCCCGTCGCGGCCCTGACCTAGCCGCCCTTCGCGGCCCTGCCCTGCCGCCACCCGTCGCGGCCCTGCCCTGCAGCCGCCTTGTCGCGGCCCTGCCCTGCTGCCGCCCCGTCGCGACCCTGCTCTGCCGCTGCCTCGTCGCGGCCTTGCCATACAGCCGCCCCGTTGCGGCCCTGCCCTACAGCCGCCCCGTCGCGGCCCTGCCCTGCACCCGCTCCTGGTAAGCGCGTCGCCCCTGCCCTGCCCGTCGCGTCACCCTAGGGCACGCGCGCCGCCCCTGCCCTGTCCGTCGCGTCGCCCTAGGGCCCGCGCGCCGCCCCTGCCCTGCTCGTCGCGTCGCCCTAGGGCCCGCGCGCCGACCCTGCCCTGCCCGTCGCGTCACCCTAGGGCCACCGCGCCGCCCTGCCTTGCCCGTCGCGTCGCCCTAGAGCACGCGCGCCGCACGGTGCCCGTCTGCAGCCCGCGAGACGCCCCTGCAGCCCGTGAACCGCCCCTGCAGCCCGCGAGCCGCCCCTGCAGCCAGCGCGCCTACCTCTTGCAGCCAGCGCACTGCCCCTGCAGCCCGCGAGCCACCCCTGCAGCCCGCGAGCCGCCTCTGCAGCGCCCAGCGCGCCCTGCCAAACCCTAAAATAAATAAAAAATTATTAGTTAAAAAAAAAAGGAGCCCTAGGTGCTGCTGCCCTAGGAGCTACTTCTGCTGCTACTGCTTGTTACTGCTACTACTGCTACTACTGCTGCTACTGCTGCTACTAACGGTGGCCAGATGCAGCTCCAGCGACGTCCGCGCGAGTCCCTCACGCCCCAGCAGCTTCGTGAGTGGTATGCGAGAATTGTACGAGGAATGAGAATGAACTAGGAAGCAGATGGGTACAAATATGAAAACCTAAAAGAGTTGTACCCCATATTGTCAACCCCACTACAGCCTACAATATGGTTCTGACACACCCCCATAGGCAAAGTGGGGGGCAAGCAAGAGAACAAGACAAGGTCAAGCTCAAGGTGGATCACAACGTCACCACACATTCCGAGCACAAGTTCAAGGCCACAAGGCCAGTTCACAGGCAGGATTATAAATCAAGGTGAACAAGCAAGACAGTGATCTCAACCTAACAAGGGCAAGCATGCAGGTGCAGGTATATATAGATCACAGTACAAGCAAAGTCAAGAGGTGAGTAAGTGAGGCCTTGCAGGCACAAGACCTAGCATAGTACAGAAACGCTGATGATCACAAGGCTGAAGTGCCTTGGTGAAGATATCAGCAGTGTTGGCCCGAGAGGCCACGTAAGCAAGACGAAGCTGGCCACGCTGCTGCAACTCTCGAGCAAGGAAGTAGCACAGAGCAATGTGCTTCGTTCTGTGCTCCAGTCTGTGCTCCTGACACAAGGCCAGCATGGCCTTGTTGTCGACGTACAGAACTGGAGGAGAACGAGGCGCCTCTCCCAAGTAAGTCAGCAGGTAGGTGAGCCAGCGTAACTCCTGTGCAGCCATGGCCCCAGCGTAGATCTCAGCCTCACAACTGGAGCTGAGTACAGAGGACGAGCGGGTAGACCGCCACGAAACAAAGCCGGAACCAAGGCTGAAGGTGTAACCCTGTGACGACCGCTGCGTAGCCAAGTCGTCAACCCAAGAAGCGTCTGCGTGACCAGTGAGGACAACCCGAGCCCGTCCTCCAAGTACGAGCCCCATGCCCGACGTACTGCACAGGTAGCGCAACACCCTCATAGCTGCAGCCATGTGCTCTGGTCGGTGTCTCCCAGGAGCAACATAGCGCGCCAAGATGCTAAGAGGGTATGCCAAGTCAAGTCAAGTGCAGATCATCAGGTACATGAGGCAGCCAACAAGCTCTGGGTACGGGCCACTCGGCTCTACGGACTCATCCGAAGGCAGAGCTGAGAGCGATTGGCGAGTAGACAGAGGAGTGGCCTGAGGCGAGGAGTACGTGAAGTCAAAGTGATGAAGGACCTACTGCACCATGTGTGACTGAGTCAAGGTAATGGTGCGTCGTGCTCTGTCCCGGATGATCTGCAGGCCAAGATAGCTGCGCAGCTCACCCAGGTCTGTGCACGTGTGTCTCTTCTGCAGCTCCGACTTCACGTGGGCGAGTCCCTCAGTGTCAGCAGTGGCAAAGACCAAGTCGTCGACGTACACGAGGATGTAGAACGGCGGCAGCGAAGTGTCGGTGCGCAGAAACAGCGACGGGTCAGCAGTAGAAGGAGCAAACCCAAGAGCCGCAAGCGTAGTCCTCTGCGTGTCATGCCACTCACGGGGTGCCTGGCGGAGACCGTAGACTGGCCGCCGGAGGCTCCACTAGGTACCAGGAGGAAACGACCCAGTGAAGTCAGGTGGGCGGCGCAGCCAGATCTCCTCGTGCAGGCTGCCCTGTAGGAAAGCAGTGCTGAAGTCAAGAGAGTGAAGCTCGTAGTCACGCTGAGCAGCGACGTGCAGCAGAACCCGAAGAGTGGTCATCTTCGGGGTCGGGGAGAAGGTCTGGAAGAAGTAAACTCCTTGTTGCTGACTGAAGCCTCGAGCAACGTAACGCGCCTTGAAGAGAGGCGGAGAACCCGGCGGCCGCTTCACCCTGAAAATCCACATGCCACTGACAATGTTCGCCCCAGGAGGGGGAACCTCGTCGACGTAGGTGCCTGTGGACTTCCAGGATGCCATCTCTGCGTCCATGGCTGACTGCCACTGAGAGAAGTAGGGACCCTCTATCGCCTCTGCGTAAGAGCGCGGGGTCGGGATGTCTGGTGCATCCGGGTCTCCCTCAGGTGCAATCAGCATGGACACGAGATGAGGTACAGCGGCTGCAAATCACTCAAAGTCC